TTTCCTCCTGAGCTGGACTCACACAGGGCCCAGCAGACACACACACACACACTCATACACGAATATATTCTGCTCCCAGGCATCAATCAGTAGGTTGTTTGCAAGCCAGAGGGGGTGGGATTTTTGGGTTTTCGCACTAATAAAACTGGATGGCTGTCAAAAAGCTGGCTGGCCTGGTAAAACAGAGCGTTGGAGCAACAACAAAAAAAAAAAGGTGGAGGGTGAGAGATCTGAGCACATTAAACTCCGTGCCACCTCCTGGAGCTTCAACGTGAGGGACTGGGCAGTACGTGCTGTACCCAGGACAGGTTGTGCAGGGGGGAGGCAAAAACCAGCATGAAAAAATAGAATGAGATTTTTAAAAATGTTGCTGTGGCAGAGCCAGAGTCACCTTCGTGCTGGGGAAAAGCAGTTTGGGGCTGGGCATTCGCCACCCCAAAAGAGCAGGGGAACTCTCAGGTGAGGGCACCAGCAGCACCAGGGGCTTGGAGGGGCACAAAATATCCCATTTACCGGGGTCTGCTGTTTCTCTTCTCTCTGCCCACATCCACAGAGGACCTCGTCCTGCACAGGGATTCTCCTCAGGCCTGCCCGAAACCTCCTGTGAGCGCAGAGCTCAGGCAGGCGCCGGTGACACCCCTGTCACCACCAACACCCTGCCCTGCCACAACCTCACCCCCCCCCAACTTGACTGTGATTACATTCTTGTCAGCCCCAAGCCTAATCCCTGCGAGCCAGGAACCAACTGAGCAAATAGAAAAATCACCCCAAGCGCGTAAATTCCTCTGGCAGCCACGGGCAGTGTCACCGCAGGGACAGAGCTGCTCCCGAGCTCAGCCAGGCACGCAGGGACCCCCAGAAGGGCGGTGCGGGTGTAAATGTGCCTGTTTGTCCCTGTCCCCCCCTAAGCAGAGGCTCCTTCCACACTCGATACTCCCCTGGCAGCGCCGCCTTCGACAGCTCCACATTTCCCCACCTGGCAGTCAAACCCTGCCAGGCCCCAGCTCTAGGAAAATGTGCCTCAAAAGTGAGGCTCAGATCAGAAGTCACCCTTTGGTGACCCTGTGCGAGCAGCCCGAGGGCTCTGCGGGCGCTCCCCGCGCCTCTCCCGGCACCGCAAAGGCCGGGAGGCACCTAGTGGTGTCGGGAAGCACAGCAGAGCCACCAAGGCCACCCCAAAAGTGTCACCCGGCCCATGCGCAGGCACTGCTGGCCTGCTGGGTGCCACCTCGCCCTCCCCTCCACCCCTGCTCTGCCCTGCACCCCGCTCCAACAGCACAGCTTCCACCTTTTCCACCTCTGGAAGCAAAGCGAAGCTTGATCGTGGGCACGGCCATCCAAAAATCCATCGGGACCTGCCCCAGCTTCCGTGTCACCTTCCCACTGGGGACGGCCCGTTTGGGCTCTGCCAGCAGGGCACAAAGTTCCCCACAGAGAGAAAACCACCCCCTCCACCTTCAGAGCCGCCCTGGCCCTTCGCTCCACACCTTGGGAAGAACTCGGGAAAAGCTCAGGCTGGGACTGCCAGGTCCTGGGAGCAGCGTCTGCCTCCGCCTGTGGCACCCGGCTGCACGGTCTGGGCAGTGTTGCAATAAAACAGGAGTAGTTACTTGCAGAGTAGGTGCTCAGGTGAGCAGGGATGTGCAGACACCTCCCCTCTGCCTGCACCTCCACCCTCCGGGTTACTGGCCGGGAGCAGCCAGGGGAGCCGGGCAAGAGCAAGGTGAGGTGATGAAACGAGCAGAGAACAGCAGCAAACCCACCATCCCTGCCGTGCAAAGGGAGGAAATGGTGTTTTCCAGCATGGCAACACCCAATTCCAGCTCAGGAATCCTCCCAGGATCCAATCTGTCTGCAGCCCGTTTCTCTGAGTCCTCTGCACTCGCCTTCTGACAGCTTTACACCCCTCCTGACACCCTTCTGCTTCCCAGATCCTGGGGCAGCTCCTTTCTGCACAGGCTTCGTGCCACCCTCCCCTGAGCAGAGCCACCCCAAGGCCACCAGAAGGGCAGCAACAGCTTTTTGGAATGTCCCCAGTTTCTCTGCAACCTCAGCGTTTATCTGCCATGTAAACAAGACACTGGGAAAGCCACTTCATCCACCATCCCTTACAAAGCTACAACACTTAGGGGTAGGACGGGAATCTTTAAAGCATCACCCGAGTTCACTTTTGGTCTAAAATAAAACCTCCAGCTCAGGACTCTCCCAACGTTGCAAAAGCAAGCGGCAAGTTATTTTTACAGCGATTCAATCCGAGCGTAAACATTTACACCACGTCTACCAGATCCAACAACTAAATCTGTTTGAGACTTGCCATGTGGCAGAGTATGGAGCATGGAAACCCCACAAAGCTCAACTCCAGTTCCAGAAGGGGAAAAAAAAAAAAAAACACCGAGTCTGATTGAAGGCTGAAGCTGTAGGAGATGACAGGAACACGAGAGCAAGGCAGACTCACAGCCCTGACATTCCCCCCTCCATGTGGTTTCACTCCACCCTCCTGCACATTTCTCTCCTTCCCACCACTTTCTCAGAAGGAATCGGGTTGGGGAAGTTCAGGTCCACGTTCCCTTGATGTGGACCCAGACATATGTACTTTATGATGAGGAAGGCATGCGGGTCTCCCTGGTCCATCCATCCTGGGTTTGACAGCAAGCAGGGTTTTGGGGAGGTTTGTGAAAAACGTTTATACAGCCTGGCTGCCTTCCTTCCTCCCTTGAAGGGATTATTCCCAATTATCTCTCCATCAGTTTGTCTGCTGGACACCTCCATTCATTCCCACACAGAGGCCTGCACATCCAGCATCTGGGATGGCGCTTTTCCCTGGATTTTTTGCAGCCCTGCTTTGCACAACAACCCCACCTCACCAACATTGCAGCACCGTTCCTTGTTGTCTCAGGCACAGCAGCTTCTCCTGCCGAGGGTTCCCCACGGGTTCCACCGTTTCCTCTCCCCCGATCCCAAATCACATCCCCGGGAGCAGCACAGCACCACAGAGCTTGAAACTCTCCCTCTACATGATAAAAGAGGGCTGGGAGTATAAAATATGCAACCCATTTGTAACTTGTGAAACTCTACCCAAGGAGGAAGAAAGGGAAAAAAAAAACCAAACCCCAAGTTTATTTCAGAACAGAAGATTGGAGCCATTTGCTTTTCAATGCCCAGGAATGGCCTTATCTCATGCCATCAGAGAGCCTTTTGTCCCCATCTCGCACAGTCTGTTCCTCATTGAATGAAAGAGCAGGATCCCAGCAGAGAAGTTAATTTTCCTGCTCCGGGGCAGCCACGTGCTCCCGGGTAACCCGGGGCAGCCACGCGGTAGGAATTCCAAAGATGGAAATTCTGCCCATGCCGTTGGAATTGAAGTGCACCACCGAAATGGCATGTGTGGAACAGCGCGAGAGGGCTCTGTCCTCTTGCCTTAGAGAGTAAATACTCAGTAAGTGTCAAAAAGTCACAAGTGGAAGCACCTAACAAGGAATCACTGCCGACGGGGAATGCCCTTGAAATCCTCCTCGTGCTATCCAGAGACAATGCCGCGCATCCAGCATCCCCCCCTCAGGTTTCTCCCTGTATTCCCCAATAAATCCACCTCTAGAGCAGGAGACTACCGACCAACAAGAAGCAGGCTCCAAATTTCAAGGGGCTTTGCTTTAAAATTAACAAAGAAAATAAACAGGCAGCAATAGAGAACACGAGGGAGCTCCAGCTCGGGGAATAAAACTGCTGCTGCAGCTCCAGCCTGGGTGATTTATCACAGCCCTGAAACAAATTGCTTCCATTTCTCAGCGCTGCACACCCGGCACTGAGAACTCCCGAGTGCTACCAACACCTGAGAGAAGTGCCGGAGTTCCTGCCTAAGAGGCAGGAAAAGGAGGTGCAGAGGGATGAAATGAGATGCCACAGGTGACACAGCCTGCAGCTTCATGGGCCACAGGTCGTCATTAGGGGGGAAAAAACCGGGATATATCTCCAAGGTGAGAATTCAGAGAGAGCTGAAGGATGACTGTGAGAGCCTCCCCTCCTCATGGGTGGTTATTTCAGGAGCCAACGGTGAGCAAAGTTGAGGAGAAACGATGCTTTGAAGCGAAGTGGCAGACTGACAGTGACAGTGTAACACCCCCGAGACAGACACCACCACTCCCTGAACAATGTCCAGTGGGGACTTGGGATGGCCACGGATGGGAAAACCCCGGGGACAGAAACTCCTCAGTTGAGCAGGCACCACCTACAACACCCTCTGCATCACCCCAGCAGGTAACATGGGGTGACAGGTACCACATCACCCCGACAGGTACCACATCACCCCAACAGGTAGCACATCACCCCGACAGGTACCACATCACCCCAACAGGTACCACATCACCCCAACAGGTACCACGGGGTGACAGGTACCACATCACCCCAACAGGCACCACCTGCTCTGTGCCACCTTCAAAGGCTGAGGTGACCCCGTGGGGACCAAACCCAGGGACCGAGGGGAGGTTGTCTGCAAGCTGGAGGGGACACACCAGAGGGGACGGGGAAGGGGGCACCAAAACAGGCCTGAAACACCAAAAACTCGGTGTGTCTGCAACTCACACAGCTGGGTGTCTCTACAGACCTCTACAGCTCTGCTGGCCCCGCAGAGTCGGGGAGTGGGTGGGGGGTCTGTCCCAGGGTGGGATTCAGAGGGTGAGATGCAGCGGGTGGGATTCACCGGGGTGGGATCCCCAGGCTGGGTGAATCCATTCACGCTATTTCACGTTTTTGAGCCTCCCCCAACCCTCAGCCTCCCTCCCCGCACACACTCCCCACATCCCCCCCCCAACCCACGAGCAGCAGCGCCGTGTGCTCGCCACGACCGTTCCCTTCCCCGCGGGCCCCGCTCAGGAGAACCCCCGACCCCCGGCGGGCACCGGAGCGGCGCTCAAGGAGTCTGGAGCCGGTGGAACCCCGCGGCCCGGCCCGGCCCCGTCCCACGGCCCCCGCCGCCCGGCCTAGGCCGCGCCGGCCCCGCTCACCTGCTCGGCCGCTCCGCGCCGAACTCGGCCCCGCCGGACTCCGCCATCTCCGGGAGCCGCCGCCGGGCCCGCGCTGGGCTGGAACGGCGGGGCCGCCGCGTTCGAAGGCGCGGGAGCGGCGGGGACCGGGAGCCGCGGGCTCCGCTCCGCGCCCGCCGGGCCTGGCGCCGCCTCCGCCGCCGCCGCCGCCGCCACCGGGGCTGTCACCGCCCCGCGGGGCCGCGGGACCCGCCGTGTGGCGGCCCCGGCACCACCGCGGGGGTGGCAGTGCTTCGGGGCTGGGGGGGTGTCACCCCTGTCCGGTGAGGGGACCAGGGGATGTCACCCCTTCGTGGCTGAGGGGGTCTGTCACCTCCCCATGGCTGAGGGGATCCAGGGTCTGTCATCTCCCCTAGGGCTGAGGGGATCCAAGGGTCTGTCACCTCCCCATGGCTGAGGGGATCCAGGGTCTGTCACCCCAGGGCTGAGGGGATCCAGGGCCCTGTCACCTCCCATGGCTGAGGATCCAGGGTCTGTCACCCCCCACCCAGGGCTGAGGGGATCCAGGGTCTGTCACCTCCCCATGGCTGAGGGGATCCAAGGGCTGTCACCCCCCCCAAGCTGAGGGGATCCAGGGTCTGTCACCTCCCCATGACTAAGGGGATCCAGGGTCTGTCACCTCCCCATGACTGAGGGGATCCAAGGGCTGTCACCCCCCCCAGGGCTGAGGGAATCCTGAGGTCTGTCACTTCTCCGTGGCCGAAAGGACTTGGGGTTCTGTCCCCGTCCCTCAGCTGAGGGGTCCCAGAGGATGTCGCCTTCCCACAGCTGAGGGGACCGGGGGGTTTGGGGTCTGTCGCTGCCCCTCAGCCGAGGGGTCCCAGGGGTCTGTCACCACCCCACAGACCACCAGTGCCTTCCAGCTGGCCGTTCTCCCACAGCAGCCGATGGCTCTCCCTGCGCTGCAGGGCTCAAAGCCTCCCCTCAGGGTGTCACCTGCGGCTCAAGAAGTGTCACCTGCGGGGACTATCACATATGCCACCAACCCATGACTGTGGGGACAACGCCGTGGGGGACAAAGCCTCCTGCCAGGCCACCTGGCATATTTTTTTTTTTTAATATTGGGCCATATTTTTCGGCCCAAAGCCTCCCTGTGCAGGAGCAGCCGTACCCTCCAGAGGGTGCAGTCCTGTCGCCGGAGCTCCGGCTGCGCGTCCCGGTGCCAAAGCCGCCTTCATCCCCACACATGGTCCCTGCCGGAGCCCTCCCAGCTCTCCCCAAAAAAACGACCCTGCAGCCGAGGCCAAGCGTGGCGGGGTCCGTGTAATTTGTAAAGCCGGAGAGCATCTGGAGGGAGCGGATGGTCCAGAGGGCATTCCAGCCATCAGTGGAAATCAGGAAATTATTCGTAGCGCTGGCTCTGCCAACGGCCGGGGGTAGATTTCTTTGATTTCCCATGCCTCCGTGTCCACATCTGTATAAGGGAAAGGGGGAGTTCGTACATGAGAATAAACGCTCTTGGAAAGCCGTGAAAACACTCTTTCAAGTCAGCCTGATGAAAACTTCATGTTCTGGAGCTCTCTGCTTCAAGGAGAGCAATCTGTTTCGGAGGAGAAGCTGTGTATTTTTCTTATTTAAACCTAAATCTGCTGGAGCATTAAAAATATTTGGCATTTCCACAGCACATTTCATTCCCAGCCCCAAATGCGTTTTACAGACATCCATTAATTAAGCCTCGTAAAACCTTGGGGAGAAAGGGAAGCAGTGCTTATTAATTTGCTATTTGTGTTGCTGCGGCGCACGGAGACCCCGACCAGGACCTTGGGGCCTTGTTATTTTAGACCTGACCTCCACAGAGGAGGAGGTGTCAGCACAGGGAGAGTGGGAGAGGCCGTGGATGGACGTTCATAGTGTAAGTCATCACCTTTCTGGCGTTTCACCCCCGTCCCCTTCTGCAACTTGGAGCTGCAGGGGGGACCGTGGCTCCCACCCAGCCCTCTGTGGGTTGTGCTGGTTTCTGGGGGCTCCTGCCCCTCCTTACCAACACCTCGTGCTTGTCCTGCTTCCTCAGACACTGGCTCTGCTTCATATGACACCTTCCCCTTCCTCCTGGGCCACTTTACAGAATCCCAGAATCCCTGAGGTTGGAAAAGCCCTCCCAGCCCATCCAGTCCAAGCTGTGCCCCATCCCCACCTTGTCCCCCAGCCCAGAGCACTGAGTGCCATGGCCAGGCCTTCCTCGGACACCTCCAGGGGTGGGGACTCCAAACCATCCTGGGCAGCCCCTGCCAAGGCCTGAGCACCCTTTCCATGGGGAAATTCCTTGTGATGTCCAACCTGGACCTCCCCTGGCACAGCTTGAGGCCATTCCCTCTTATCCTGTTGTTCCCTGGGAGCAGAGCCCAACCCCCTCTTGGCTCCCCTCTCCTGTCAGGGATTGCAGAGCCAGAAAGTCCCCCCTGAGCCCCCTTTTCTGCAGGATGAGCCCCCCCAGCTCCCTCGGCTGCTCCCCACGTGATCAGCACACCCTGATCTTTAAAAGGGTTAAAACAAACCCTTTCCCTCTATTATTTTTAGGCCCATGCAGATATTTTAAGTGCATCTATTTCTGTTCAGTAAAGGGCTGCAGCCCTCTCTGTCCCAGGTGGGGCGACGGTGGGAGCTGTGAACGTTACACCTCTGCTTCCCCTGCAGGAAAAGCCAGGCTGGGCTGGATGCTGTAAATGCCTTTCACGTGTTCCCCAGATCCCAGTTAAATTGAACCCCAGAAGGTCTCTCAAAGCATGAAAAATGCATTTATAAGACTCTGGAAGGAAGATGTATTCCAAAACTACTCTGGTGACCAGGCGTGCTGACTTGTGTCATGCGGAGAAGGAACCAAGAGGGGGGTATTTCTTGTTATTTCATACTGCTGATGGGATTTTACCTCTGGCAGCAAATCCAGGAACTTTTTAGTTACCATTATTGTTTGATTTTATGGGCCATTTGATATTTATTTTTATTTCTCTTCATTATTTGTTGAGTGCACTTAGCCCCTTCCCCGAGCAGCCTGCCTTATATCTAAGGTGAATTTTACGACCAGTGTTAGCACAGCGTCTGAGCAACTCACACAACTTTAATATATTTATCCCTTGCACACAGTATATCCAGGCAGTCCTGGAATTCCTACCGTGGAGAGCGGTGCTCTGCCTGGAAAATCGCAAATCTAACTGCACTGGGTTAAAAAAAAAAAAGAAAAAAGTAATAAACTCCAAACTATTTACATTCTTCTTCTTTCTGATCTTCATTTTACGCCATCGGGATGTATTTGAGTCATATTTTTACTGGTTTTTGGTGTTGTTTTTTTTTTCCCCCTTACAAAACATGAGGTCTATCCATGTACCTTCCTCTGCAAGCCAAGCTCTTGTGTATCCCACGGCTCCCACAGCTGGGCTTTAAAATCCACGGCCAACACTGGGAGACTAATGACAAAATCATGAGCTGGCAGCGCTGCCTTTCCCTCCGACCTCTCCATCCTGCTCAGGAGCGGGAATTCCAGCACCAGCATCCACATGCTTTGGGTTGGCTGGAGGAGGCACAGAGCTGGCCACATCCAGGGTTTTTTTGTGTTTTGCTTTGGTTTGGTTTTTTTCCCAATTCTTGTTAGATTTCCCCCAGCCCAACAAATCCTCTGGGCTCCTTTGTTTGCTCTGGTTGGGGAGGAGGCCGTGATGGCCCTGCCTCGCTGTCCCTGCCTCCATGGGGATGATCCCGGCTCCATCTCCCACCCTCCACGCGTGTCCAGGGGGTGCCGTGGGCTTTCTCGGTGCCAGTGCTTCTGGCTGGTTTTATTCCCTCTGGATTTCTGCTTGACTGCTCTCTGCTAATCCCTGTGTAATCCCAGCAAGCCTGTGATCCCAGGGAGGGGTTGGGCATGCGGGCTGGGGTGTGTCTGCTGTGCCAGGGCTGTCCCTGGGAGCTGGCCCTTCTCCCTCCCTTTCATTCTGCCCCATGGGATACCCCCATGGGATCTCCCCACAGCCACGGTCAGGTTTGGTGGTGTTTGATCTCCTGGAGACGAAAAAGTCTCTGGTCCAGGTCAGATACTCTCTCCTTCCCCCTTGGGCTCCATCACTGCCAGTTGCCGCCTCAGAGAATTCCACCAGCCCCAGGGACTCCCAGGGATGTGCCGGAGCCCCCCAGGATGAGCTCTGTAGGCTCCCACCATCCCAGGGTGCAGATCAGCCCTGCAGGTCCCTGATTTCACAGCCACCCTGACACAACCTGTGCCATCTCCAGCACAACACACCCGGTGAGCAGCATCCTGTCCCTGCTGGGACGGAGCCAGCCTGGGCTCCCACCCCCAGCATTGTTACCCGCCCGTGGAGCACTGGGACGGTCTCATCCAGCATGGATAAGGGACACACCTGCTCTGGGAAGTGCTGTGAGCAGGGAGCAGAGAGCAGAGGTCTGGCCTGGGGAGAGAGTCTCAACACCTTCCTTGATGAATCTTGGGCTCCCTCCGCTCCCACGTGGATCTGGGGCCTGCGGGAGCCGCGTCCCAAATCGGCTGGATCCAGCGGATCCCTCCGCACGTGCTGGATCCCGGCACACGTGTCACCCCGTGAATCCAGGGACGGCTCCGGCGCCTGAGGGCGAGCAGGTGCTTTAGGAGAGCCCGGTTCCCATCGGCGCGGCCAAACCGCAGCCACACGGCCCAGCCCTCCCCGGCTGGCTTGGCTGCGCTCCTCACCTGGCAGGAGAACACACGGCAGCGGGGATAAACACGGCGCGGAGCGAAGCCCCTCGCGGCCCGGCCAAGAAGTAATGAAGCCCAGGGAATGGAAAATCCATGTCACTTGGCCGGGCTGGATTGCGCTCCGTGCCGGCGGCCGGGAGGGCGCTCCGCTTCCCGCACGGCATCGCCGCGGCCCAGCAGCTGCGCCAGGCCCGGCCGCGGCACCGCGCTGAACTCTGACATTTGAAGACGGGGGAATAATTTGGCTTCATTATCCTCCCCTTCTTCCTCCCCCCCCCCCGCCCCTGCCCCGGGCGGTCCCTCGAGCCGGGCTGGAATGTGCGTGGTAGGGACAGAACCAATCCCATTAGCACGAGGAGATTGTTTTTCGTTTGGGTTTGCTGCCGTTGAATCACCCGTGGCTCCGCTTTTTGGGGTAAGTCCTCGAAGGGAGGACGGGGAGAGGGGACCCATGGATGTGTTTTCCC